TCTCTCTCTCTCTCTCTCTCTCTCTCTCTCTCTCTCTCTCTCTCTCTCGCCCTCACTCACCCCCTCTCTCTTTATCTCTCTTGCCAAGATATATAGCCTGTGTTGCTTTGCGCTGATTTTGTGTTTGTGTTTTTCTTCCTCATCCGCCAATTCGTTATTAATTTCAACCTCTTCACGTCCTCTTGACATCTTTGCTTCCCCTTCCTGGTTTCTATCCGTCTCTCCTCCCTCGCCAGTGAGCCGTGGAACGACGCCACCAGCCGACAGACGGCATGGGTTATAGGTGTGCACGAAACTGCGTTATAAACCGCATGCGAACAAACGTGTTTTGCGAAACGTGTTTGCTTCTCGTTGTTCTGTTTGCCTCGCTTTGTACGAATCGAGCAATTAAAACAAATGAAAAACAACAACGATAGCACTAACCCACTAATCCTTACTACACCCGTTCTTACTACACCCGCACTCCTTACTACACCCGTTCTTACTACACCCGCACTCCTTACTACACCCGTTCTTACTACACCCGTCCTTACTACACCCGTTCTTACTACACTCGCGTTACGGAGTGTGTTTTTTCGTTTTTATTAATTTTTTGTTTTGGCATTTTGTTTTCGTTCGTTCGTTCGTTCGTTCACTAACCTCGTTCGTTCGTTCGTTCACTAACTTCGTTCGTTCGCACACTAACATTTTTAATCTTCGTTAATGCGATGATCATATCAATGATATTCGTCTCGTTAATGCGACCGCGATCACTCTCCGGCCGCGAGTCAGCCACCGCGAGCTTTCGTCGTTATTGATTCTCGCTGCAACAATTAACTGTTCGCTGATTAATAACGACGATGCGATCGGATCTGCGTGGAGAACTCTATAGAGATGTCGGTTATTTCGTAATTAGGGTTTTTTGCGCGCCTTCCGTCGTCGTCTGGAGGTTAGGAGTCGTCTCCGCTGTTTGGAGATACAGAGATAGAGGGGGAGAGAGGGGGAGGGAGGGAGAGAGGGAGAGAGGGAGAGAGAAAGACAGAGAGATAGAGAGAGCGAGAGAGTGAGAGAGAGAAAGAGGGAGGGAGAGAGAGGGAGAGATAGAGAGAGGGAGAGATAGAGAGAGAGAGAGAGAGAGAGAGAGAGAGAGAGAGAGAGAGAAGGAGAGAGAGAGAGAGAAGAAGAGAGAGAGAGAGAGATAGAGGGGAGAGACAGATTAAAATCTTCGAGTATTCGATTAGGGTTGGATGTCTAGGTTTTATGGCGTTTTCTTTCTAGTAAATGGCGGCGGACGAACCTGGAGGAGATGGAACTCGGGCCCTACTCTGACCGCCTTGACTTCATCAGGGGATTTCCAAGACGATCATTAGCACCGTTCATGGCACGGAACCACTGTGAGTGGTGACGCTCGAGCCGTGTACCCCACGATTACCTGCTGATTTGACCTCATCACCGGTGACTCCGCGACGACCGTCCGACGCTGACGTCGCGCTTAAGTGTCGGTGCTGTGACGACGATCACGCTGTCCTGACGTGACGTTTCGATTCGCATTGTCGAATTAGGCTCAAAAACTTTTCCCAAAAGGAACGCTTCGATTAAGTTGATTTAAACAATTAATTAGTTCGAATTCAGAATGAAATGCCGTTCGCGCGGGGGGTGTGCTCCATCACCCATGAACCCCCTCGTGCACCGCTTTCCACTGCTCGCGAAGCCCTATACCGACAATCCGACACACTGTCGTTTGTCATGAAGTCTGTCATGCAGCTCTACTACCTGTCTGCCTTCCCCTGCCCACAGTCGCCCCTCACTTTCGGGCCCACACCGTAAACACCTTCGCCACTGCCCAGCAGCCCGCCATTCCCCACACCGTAACGCTTCACTGGCAAACAGCCCCCATCGCCCGCCACACCCGTTAAACGCCTTCCGCTGCAGCACTGCCTCCCACTCCCACACCCCTCTGTAACCCTTCTCGCTGGCCACAGCGCCCCATCAAGTAAAGCTTCCCCTGCACAGTCCCCACCACGCCACACCCCGTAACCCTTCACTGCCACAGCCCCCATCCCCAACACCGTAAACGCCTATCCACTGCACAGCCCGCCACCCACACCGGCGTAAACCCTTCCACTGCCACAGCCCCCATCCCCACACCGTAAACCCTTCCACTGCCACAGCCCCCACCCCCACCCGTAAACCTTCCAGCTGCCGACAGCCCCGCATCCCGGCACATCACGTAAACACCTTGTAACCACTGGCCACAGCGCCCATCCACAGGAGCCGTAAACCCTTCCACTGCCACAAGCCGCCCACCCGCCACACGCGCCGTAAACCCTTCCACTGCCAGACAGCCCCCATGGCCCCACACGCGTAAACGGCCTTCCACACTGCCGACAGGCCCCCATCCGCCAACACGACAATCCCGTAAACCCTTCCACTGCCACAGCCCCCACCCCCACACGCGCCTGCGGCCGCGTAACCCTTCTCACTGCCACAGCCCCATCCCACCGTAAACCCTTGACCACTGGCCAGCAGCCCCCATCCCCCAACATTGGGCGATCCGTAAACAACCTTCGCAGCTGGCCACAAGCCCCCACCCCCACATGACCGTAAACACCTTCCACTGCCGACAGCCCCCATCCCCACCCGTAAAGCGCGCTTCCACTGGCCACAGCCCCCACCCACAGCCCGTAAACCCTTCGCACTGGGGCCTACAGCCCCCATCGCCCGACATGCCGTAAAGCCCTTCGCACTGGCCACAGCCCGCCATCCCCACACCGTAAACGACCTTCCACTGGCACAGCCCCCACCCGCCACACCCGTAAACCGCTTCCACTGGCCACAGCCCGCCACCCCCACAACCGGTAAACCCTTCGCACCTGGCACAGCCCCGTCCATCCCCCACACCGTTTAAACCCTTCGCACTGGCACAGCCCCCATCCCCAGCAGCGTAACGGACCATTCACTGGCCACAGCGCCCCCACGCGCCACACCGTAAAACCCTTCACTGGCCACACAGCCCCCACTCCCCACACCTGTAACGGCCCTTCCACTGCCACAGCCGAGCGGCCGGCTCAGCTTCGCCACCCGGGGCCCCACAACGTCCGCAAGCCGTAAACCGCTTCCACTGCCACAGCCGACCACGCCCAACACGCCCGTAAACCCTTCCACTGCCAACAGCCCCAATCCCACAGCTCCGTAACCCTTCCCGCTGCACAGCCCCCCCCCGCCACTCCCACACCGTAAACCGTCTTCCCAGGCCGCCCTGCACCCACCAGTCCCTGTGTTGATGACTAATGATCGCCACCTGTTGTCATTGTCGCTAGAGGAAGTCGTAGCTTGCTACTGGTGCCTCTGCGTAGTCTGTTACCGCTTACCCCCTCCTCCCTCAACACCCCTCCCCTCTGCTTCGCACCCCTCACTGAACAATTTCCACTCGTTTTGCTGTGTGGTAGGAAGCCTCGTTACGTGCTACCAGCCTAGCGGCTGTGCCTACCTTTACCCTCCCTTCCCTGCGGCCGCTGCCCCCTGCACGCATACGACCCCTGCTCGCCCCTGACCATACGAGCCCCTACGTCTGCCTCCCCCCTGCCTCCGCCCCTGACCATACGACCCCGCTTGCCTCGCCCCTGCACCCATACGACCCCCCGTCTGCCTCCCACCCTGCCTCCGCCCCTGCACCATACGACCCCCCGTCTGCTCCCTTGCTGCCCGCTGCCCTGCACCATACGAGGCCGTCCGTCTGCCTGCCCCCCGGTCCGCTGCTGCCGCCCGCACACTGATGATGTGCTTTGTTGTTCGTAGGACGTTCGCTTAATGCTAACCATGTGTACCTCCCTGTCCCCTCGTCCCTCCCTCTTCCCTCCTCCCTCACTCGCCCTCCTCCGCCGCCGCTATTACTGACGATCGGCCCATTCTTGTTGCTTTTATAGGAAAGTCGCTTACTGCTACCGGGCGTCTGCTGGCTACCTGTCGCGCGCTTCCTCCCCGCTCCCTGCGCCTCCTCCCTCTCCTCCCTCCTCCCGCCTCCTCCTCGCCCTTCCCCCCTGCCCTAATACTAACGCATCCCATCCTTGTTGTTTTAGGAAAGCGTAACTGCTCACCGGCGTCTGGCTACCTGCTAGTAAGTTCAGCTGCACATCGCTGCTGAAGCGAGCTTCTAAGAGTGGCGCCGCTGCAGAAGGCCCGTGCGCGCATCGGAGACTTCTACAAGCATAGCAAGAGTGAGGCCGCGAGCCTCGAGACGCGAGCGCGACGTGAGACAGTGTGCGAGACGTGAGGAGTGTGTGTGTGTGAATAGAGGGCAGAGATGCCAACCCACTAACGATTTATGCCTGTATTTTAACTACGAATTTCTATTATCCTTCTTGCGCACCCACTAGCGACCAGTTTGTATCAACTAACGAATTTCACTGTGATCGAAAAAACATAATTTTTTTGTCAATTATTGTCATTTTTGTTCAATTATTGTCATTTTTTTTACCCCTCAGAATGCAGGGAAATTGCATCTGCAGGAGATCCGAAATGTTCTGGGGCATGCCGGGACGCCGCCTGAGCAAACTCGGTCACTACGTGACGCGCTTCGACTCTAATTAGATGGCCAGAAACTACAGATTGCTTCAAATATGTGTTGGCATCTCTGTGAGGGTGCGTGTGAGGTGTGCAAGACAGCGTGCAATAGACATGAGGCCATGCACGTGAAATGTGAGGCCGTGTCTGAGACATGAAGGTGTGTGTGAGACACGAGGCCTCCACAACATACGCAAGATGCTAGCACACAGAGGCAATATTTCTCCTCGTCTCGATAATCCTCAGTGCGAGCGTTTAATTTGCGCATTCAACTCGTACTCGACGTCGTACCACTAGCGTACGCCCCAGCGCACCACGTAAATGAAATGCCGCCCGTTCCCACTCCGCGGAACGTCTTCTCCGGAACTCCGTTCCATTACCAACTCGAGATCCGATCAGGAATCCGTCCCCCACCCACCCACCGTCTTCACTCACCGAGAGTGACCACGCACTAGCGTCGAGATGAGCGAATGTGTTTTGTTCGTTTCGTTGGGCAGGTGGACACGCACATCCACGCGGCGTCGTGCATGAACCAGAAGCACCTGCTGCGCTTCATCAAGAGCAAGATGAAGCACCACCCGGAGGACGTCGTCTGCGTGGAGCGCGCCACCGGCAACGACGTCACGCTCAAGCAGGTGTGGCGCCATCTACGGGCGGTTATAGTCAACTTTGCGTGGTTTTTGTGCGTGATGCGATTTTTTTACGCTGGTGTTATGCGCAATATTGTAGACAGGGGTAGAGATTGGTTTGGAAATTTACAGGCCAGCCTGTAGGTAAGGGATTTTACAGGCCCACCAGCCAAATTACAGGCCTGGTTGCGATAACTTTTCATCCTCGCTGGCATGCCGGGGACGGTTTTGCATGTTGGGGGTGGATTTTCTACGGACCCGTCGGGCTTGCTAGTATTAAAATTGTCAGGCCCGAGCCTTAAAATACGGGCATCGGGCCCGCAGGCCCCTTATGATTTCGACCCATGGTAGATAATGTGCTATTGTACGTAATGTTGAACGAATCTTTGCCTAATTTCACATGTATATACTGTGCGAATCTCTATATGTAATGTTATATGAATAATTAAATAGTATTATTATGTAACATTATACCGAGAACCTACCAAAACCTTTACCTTCATGTGAATTTACATAAGTGTGAAATTATTCGTGGGAATATAATTACATGTAATATTATACATATTTGTGATTCATCACATGATGAAATAAATTCTAAATGCACGACTGACACCAAGTACGTCGGATAATTGTGATTTTTCGAGACTGCCGTTCGATTTCGAATCCGCGCGGAACGTCCACACCTAATTACGAGAATCGTCGCTAACGAGCGGATTAACTGATGTCGTACATGTGTGTGTGTGTGTTTGTAGGTGTTTCAGCAGATGGGGGTCAGCGCGTACGACATGAGCGTTGACATGCTGGATGTACACGCGGTGAGTAGCGCACGCGAGAGCGCGGCGGACGCCATGTTGGAAATTCAAATTTCAAATTTTGAATTTCGAAATAAATTGAAATTTTTCTAAAATTTTCGAATTTCATGTTTCTAATATCGGATTTTTAAATTATGAGCCCGGTTACTTTCAGATCTAGGAACATAACTAAAGAATGAAATCTGTGTTCTGATTGGAGCAGCTGAGAAGTGGAACGTAATCTGAGACAAAAACTATTTAGATTTCAAATTTCGATTTTTGAATGAGCCTTGGTTTTTGTAGTGACGTGTTATCGTTGTTGCGAAAGAGAGAATACGACACGAGTACATGGGTAAAATATGCAGACTGGCTTTTATTAAAACAATGAAACGACTAACTAAGCACCTTTGTACACGGCTATTGAATCAACGGAATCAACAGTCTGCGCTCGTTAGGTTTGCGACCTATATCTTGCTCCTATGCTGCAGAGTATCATTTTTTTTAGAATACCCGCAGATTTTATTTCAGTAAATTCGATTTTTCAATGGAGAATTAAAGCAATGATTTTGCGCAATTCAAATAGAGACACGATGAGGCAATATGCTGGAACCTAGCTGTTACACAGATGTAAAATCAGGTGTGTGTGGAAGATCTCTGCATTTTCTTCCGTCGTACCTTTTTAATCGTTTACTTCTTTTCTCACTCAATCCTCAGTCTTTCTACGTGTGAATTTTACAATGTTTTTACTCATTTTCGCCAATACATATTTTATATCTTACATTTACATCAGTTTAAGCACATATTTTCACAAATTGATCTGTTTTTATTTACAAGTATAACCAGTTTTATGTACAGTTTCTTTATAATGTGAATATACCAATTTCCCAGTCTCTATCGACCCTCTCGCGTGCGTTTCACAGAGCAACCATTCTCCCTTTCCCAAACTTTTCGTTGTTTTTCACCAGTTCTCATCATCTTTCGCGTGATGTTATGTACTTGTCGATAATTTATCGTCTATCGCGTTATGTCGCAGGACAGGAACACGTTTCACAGGTTCGATAAATCTTTATCGTCTTTCACACGCGTTTCACGGGGCAACCATTCTCCCTTTCCCAGACCCCGTTGTCGTTTTTCACCGGTCTTTACCAGTCTCTTTCGCGTGGTGTTGCAGGACAGGAACACGTTTCACAGGTTCGATAAGTTCAACGCCAAGTACAACCCCGTCGGGGAAAGCCGGCTGCGCGAGATCTTCATCAAGACGGACAACTACAGAGAGGGCCACTACTTCGCACAGCTGCTGAAGGTAGCGCCACATAATTTCACGTACTAGCGCCCCCCCTAGCTTACGGTAGCAAGTCTGGCGAGGCTCCGTCAAAAGCTCACAACGTTGATAAAGTTGTTCAACGTTGTCACTGGTGCTAACATTGTCGAGGTGACATTGTCAAACGTTTCAATGTCACCAAGGTGACATCGTCAAACGTTTCAATGTCACCACGGTAACATCGTCAAGTGTTTCAACATCGCCGTCGTGACCTCGTCAAAGGTTGTCGGCGTTGCCACGGCGACCGACCGTCCGAGCCGCGTCATCGAACCGTATCCGATATCGTCACGATCATTGTCGTCCCCCCCGCCGCCTTGCCGCCCTTCCCCTCCTCCTCCTCCTCTCTCTCCTCCCTCCTCCTCCTCTCGACCTCCCCCCGCGGCGTACGGGAGGCGACGGAGGGCGTCGGCGCCACCACCCGCTCCCCCCCTCCTCCTCCTCTGCCTCCGCCTCCTCCTCCAAGCATCTTCCTCATCTCTGCGAGGAAGACGCGATTCAGCAGATAGTAGAGCACGAAGTTGAGCGAGGCGTTGAGGGCCTCGGCTAGGTCCGCGGCGGCGAGACACGCCTCGCGCAGCGTGCGCGCCGCCGGGTCGTCGTCGACGTGTGCCGCGACGAGGGAGGCTGCCGCCGCGACCGCGTTCAACGCGAGGCACTGCGCCACGACGGCCGCGAGAGTCGCCGTGAGACGCCGCTCCGCCGCGCGCCGCCGCCGCCGCTGCGGGGGCGCCACCGCCCGCGCGTCGTGTCGGTCGGCGCGGCGGCTGCGGCGGCGCGGCTCCTGCACGCTGATGGTGCGAGCGACGGGCGGGCGGCGCGGCGGCGGCGGCGCGGGCTCGCTGCACGTGTGTGCGGCCGGGCGGCGGCGGCGGAGCGCGGGCGCCGCGGCGACGACGCGCGCGTCCTCGACTCTCGAGCGTGCGTTGCGGAACTTCGCCAGCAGGAGGCAGTTGTAGACGGCCATGACGACGAGCGGGACGATGTCGGCGGCGACGAATCGCGCGACCGCGTACACGTGGAACGCGGCATGCTCGGCGAACGCCGTCTTCACCGCGCGGTACGCGCACGTTCCGTTGTTTCCGGTCGGCGCCGGGACCAGCGGCGGTCGCGCCGCCACCGCGGAGGTGGATACGGGGGCGGCCTCTTGCGGCGCGCACGCAAAGTAGATCGGGACGTGGAACGCGGCGGAGGCGACGGCGATCGCCGCCAGGAGGCGCCACGCGTGCCACGGGACGACGGCGCGCGGCGGCGGGTGTCGCTCGCGGCTCGCCGCGTGCGCGTGTCGGTCGCGCGCGATCGCCACGACGATCCACAGCGCGGCGGTGGACGCCGTGCAGGCGACGCCGGCGTCGACGCGGCACGCGTACGCGATCTGCGCGCGCGACCAGCAGTCGACGACGCCCGCCGCCAGCAGCAGCGCCTGCAGCGCCTGCGGCAGCTTGACGACGAGGAAGAGGAGGTCGGCGGCGGCGAGGCCCGTGAGCAGCACGTAGGTGGCGCTGCGGTTGAGCCGCGAGCGCAGCAGCACGACGAGCGTGAGAGCGTTGGACGCGGCGCCACCGACGCAGCACAGCGTCACGACGCCATAGACGACGACGAGGAAGACGTCGTTGTCGCTCGTCGCCATGGCGACGCGCGGGGTTTGGCAGCAGATGAACCGCTAGGGGGCGTTTTATGGAGTCGATGTCTAAAGGCTGAGGAACATCTAGTTTGTTTTTTGTCGACTCTTGTCTAAGAGAAGACGCGCGTTGATCTTTGTTACCGATTTTTGTCGTCTAAGAAATCATACACATCTAGTTTGTGTTTGTTGACGAATTTTGTCTGAGAGATGATTCACGTATAGTTTATCGATCTCTGTTATCGATTCGTCGAGGACGTGACACGCACCTTGGTGGTTACTATCTCCAACACAGTGTTAAGATCCTAAAAAAAATCTCAAGGTAATCTCGTTACAAAGAGGTTTTCAATCCATTGCGAGACTAGTCCTTAAGACGATCAGATGAGACTTAATCTGAGTCTTTTGTTACCGACTTATGCTGAGCTTACGCACGTGGTCGCTGTTGTTGGTCAAGGTCGTTGGGGAGGTCGTCTTTTGTTCACGACGATGACACTTTTCCCGGTTTTTCCGATCTTCGTCAGTTAATTATCTTCGTTGTCGGCTAACGCGTACTGATGTCAGCGATCGGTTATTATGTGCTAATCCATGAACGTGGGTGTAATCTGCTATGGTTTCGCTCGATTGATCGCTTGCACACGCAGTAGTCTACCGTGAAGAGATTAGTTTGGATTTTGTGGAAGATTTTGTTGTTCCTCTTCTCGCGTAGGTGTTGTTACACGGGTGACCTTGGCTGAGCCAGGTAATCACCAGGTAGGTGTTCACCGTTACACCTGTTTCTTACACCTGTCACATTATCTCACCTTCATTACCAGGTAATTATTCTACACAGGTGTTCCTCATTATACCTGTCACCTTAATTACACTTGTCACATTACCTGAGCCTCCCTACCAGGTAATCTTTCCACACAGGTGTTCCTCGTTATATATACCTGTTACCTTAATTACACTTGTCACATTACCTGAGCCTCCCTACCAGGTAATCTTTCCACACAGGTGTTCCTCGTTATATATACCTGTTACCTTAATTACACTTGTCACATTACCTGAGCCTCCCTACCAGGTAATCTTTCCACACAGGTGTTCCTCGTTATATATACCTGTTACCTTAATTACACTTGTCACATTACCTGAG